TTATGTAGGAATGGAAATAATGAAAATCCAATCCCAATTCTCAACCATTACCAGCAAAAAAATACCCTAATTACTCATAAAATTCACATCCACATGAAAGCAAATAACCATGTTCAACGTGAATTGCAGTAGGATTCGTAATATACACCAAATATAACCCAAACCCTAAACATTGACGGATTGAGAGGGGGAGAAAGGGGAAATTGGAAAGAGAGCAACCTACAGATGAAGCATACGAATCGGAGGCATAAGTGGAGACCGGTGCTTCCCCTGAGCAGCTCATTGAAGGTGACGAAGAACACTGTGGTAGTGATGATGAGCTGAGTGGCGAGGATGTCGTACAACTTCTGGATCAGACCCCATCAGAGCTAATTCTCACAAAGATCAAGACCTGATATAGAGTTTCGTTGTAGCCAGCTTCCAGATCCGACTCCTTCCTGAGATCCTTCCATCGAAGAAGAACGCGTTTCCACTAAGCGATTCCACGGGAGCTTAATTGAAACCCTAAAAATTGAAAAATCAATGTAATTGCAGAGGGAGTGACTCACCGGGAACACAGAGAAGTCGAAATTTTTAGGATCTAAACCATCGTAAGGCTCCGAGCTCCTATTCCGACGGCGCTGCTGAACTCCAACCAGTCACGCGGCTCGCTCCACCTTCTACCTCTCACAAAATCACTCGTATTACGATTAGTTGTCGCCGTCTCTTCTTTCACGAGTTCTGGTTTCACTAGATCTTTAGACTAACTCCGGCCCAAAAGGTTATATTTAGCCTCTCAATCTCTCAAATATGCATTTTTACCTTCCAAAAATACTTTTTTGCTCCAACCCTAAACCTTCTAAATTTGCCTTCCCAACTCATAACCAACCAATCAAAAATTAAGAAAGTTAAAAAAGAAAAAGAAAAAGAAGATGTTGGAAAGTGGAGGGCCCCAGCGTGTGGGCTTGGGTTCCATGGTTGGTCCCCCACCTTCTCCTTGCATTTCTCCATATGAGCTTCTATCTATCCACCCCCAAGCCCACTTCTCCAAATTTGCAAGCCAAATAATTGGTGGGTTGGAGATGAAAAAAGCCAAAAACCTCCCTTTCTCCAAATTTGCATGCTTGGGTTGGAGATAGTCTTAGAGAAGGAAGAGAGAACTGAGGTCGCTGCTCATTGAGGCAGAGAAGACAATGCTGAAAGCTCGATCAATGGTCGAAGCCTCAAGGCGCTCGATTCCGGACGAAGAGAAAGCTGATTTGTGTTTTTCGTTTTGGTTTTTAGGGATTCGTCTAAGGACTTGGTCTTCTTAAGTAATGAAAGGATAATTTGTATGTGTAAATATAAAAGGACAAAAATAATTACCGGAAAAAGACAAAAATAATAAGGCTAAAACATTAAAAAAGAAAAGGACTCAATAAAAAAGACTTCTGCTTGTACACCCTTGGTGACAGGTGTATATTATCACAGCCGCGGATGCCGACGGTCAATTGACGGGCAGAGGCTTCCGTTGAAAGTACCGCATTTATCGACGGCCAGACTGGCTGTTATTAAAAGGCTGTCGCTAAAGCACTTATTTCTTGTAGTGACAGGAGGAAACCCTCGTCGCCAATCATCCCTCGAGTGATATTTCTCCCCATTTTAGACTAAATTCATATCTATTTGATGCAGGCGGAGCTGCGCCTTAGGGTTTTCACTTGATTCAACAAAGTAATTTAATCATTTAACTTCTATTTGGTTTATTAATTCCTTAATTTCAAACTAGATCAATTAAGTTCTTCCATTTTTAGGATATCTTCGGGTATCTAACAATGTTTTTTTTTAAATACGAATATTGATAGGTATCCACATTTTAGTTACTAAAATAGAATGCACCACAAAATATTGAAATGCATTATTCAATTTTTATATTTTTCTTATTTATATTGAATGCAATAGGAAATTTTTTATAAGGTTATAATAATTTTACTTCAGTTTTTTTTTAATAATTTGATTATTTATATTTTTCATTGTTTTGTCGTAACATATTAAGAAAACTCCGGCGCTCCTGGTTTCTAAATCATTGCTCTGCACCTGATTTGATGAAATCTCAAAATTTGATAGGAACATTTACTATCTTTCCGACGTGCGATTACTAAATCTTAGGTGTGTACACGTATTGTTTGGTAATTTCAAGTACAAGCATGTCCAGGACGTATTTTTGGAGTGAAGATATGGAGCACACAGAGCAAAGTCGAAAGTCAAATTGAAGAGGGATAGATAGACTGTTTCAAACAATTCATGACAATGTTTTTGTCTAAGTTTGCAAGCACGAAACGTGGACACTTATCGTAGGCACACTCTTCAATACTAAACATATTGAGGAGGAGGTGCTTAGAGATTTCTAAAAGAGATGGATCTCGATTTCCATGGCTGTCAAAGACGTCAAACCACCAATGCTCGGGTGCTATTTGGAAGAGTGCACCACGAGTAAGGAGTTGTGTTGAGCTCTTTCTAAAAAATGCCGCTACCAAAAAGGAACTCAACCTAAGGGTTTAGAAAGTCATAATATTATAAGAGAGCCTCGCAGCTCGAAGAGAATATAAGCAAAGGAATAAAACGGAGAAAGGGGAAGAGAGCATAATGGTGTGGTCAAGAAAGAAATAGAGGTGGGAATTAATACGACACTGGGGGGTTGGATTTTTACCAAAGTACGCAGCAACACAATCAATCCAAGGATTGAATTGATTAAAACGAAATTCGAACCAAAAACAAGGATGTTCTTGGGTGTTTGGATAAAACAGAATCAAACGTGCAATCTTTCACGTGGAAGAAGGCTCGAATGATATAAAGGTAGATGCCCGGCCACGATCAATGCGTTCTTGATCGATACAAGAGCTCAATGAGCTTGGTACGCAAACTTGCAAAAACCCAAAGGTTTCGATTTCTATTCAACAAAGTCTAACTATTACAACAAAAACTAGAGGGTATTTAAAGGCAAATAAACCTAATACAATCCTAATAGAGCTAGGAAACAATTAAGGTAAAAGTCTACACTAAAAAGGACACAAAAATTCGGGTTTAAACTCTCTTTCTTCAAGCGCAAGTAAGCTGCCAGCAAACAGTCCAAAAGCAGCTTTCGTACTAACTTCATGCCTTTTGTTCGAGGCCTTCAAGAACTCCGATCTTTCATCTGATTCCTTCCCTTGGTAGATAAACATACCTAGTTTCATTTTCTGGAAGCCCTTTGACTTGATTTCCCTCCATGCTCCTTGAGTTGAACTCCAAAGTAGGCTTTACAAAACAGTTTTCTGCCTTGGCCATTTTCTGGCAGTTTTCCAGTTTTGAGGTAGCAACTTTGAGACCTTGGAAAACAACCTTAATGACATCATCTGGATCCAAAAAGCATACCATTGGAAACATGACAACTTTATCTGCAAAACAAACCCTTAACCTTGAATTTCCACCAAGCCAATTGAGAGAACCATGCCTCCAAAGTATTAGCCAAATTCTGCCCTTCTTCTTTCCAACCTTGATAGCTTCTTTGGCAAGTAATTGTGACTTGTAGAAGTGGCCAATTTGGATCATATCAGGAATGGTCAATTTTATAAATTGACTAATAAAGATCGGTCATGCGAAATTTTAGTCCCAATGATAGAATAGTCTTAAATCTGAACTGACACATCGAATCGCATATCAAATAATTGGATGTATGCAAAGACATTATTCACAAATCTCCTATCACATAATCTAACAATTGAGATTACATTTACAAGATATGATCCATATTCTAACCATGTTAGCCTATGTTTGACGTCAACTCTATCAACATGGTAGCAAAATCCCCATCATACGCCCAGTGTATAGTTTAGTTGCCCCCATTCCCCGGAAGTGGAAAAAAAATTAAGATTATTGTGATTGTAAGAGCATCCATATCAACACAATTGCAAAAACATTTATGCTTTTTTTTAGCGAACTCATATATATTTTTTTTTTCAATCCACCTCAAATCAGTTTCATTCACCTACATCAATGCAATAAACTTGCAATTGCATATGTAATTAAATATTATATTTAAATTATAAAAAAGTAATAAGAGAAAAGAAAATAATCTAAAATAAAAACTCCATTTTTAGGTTTTTTTTATTTGCATATGCAATTGCATTTATTGTTGGACAAGAAACCCTCTTCCAGATCAGGGGAGGCATTGTGAAGAAGGCTGGAGTCGTTGGAGGTTTGGCCGAGTTTGGCGCCAAAGTTGGAGTTTAAGTTCTTTGAGTGTAAGTCCAAGTGAAACTGTGTCGTATGGATTATTCCAGTTTAGTACTTAGTTTTTTTAGTTTGATTAAATGAGTCAACGACCGTTGTCAAACAACTTGAGCTAGTTTTCAGTTGTTGGTTAGTCTTGTTGCAGATATGCAGTAGAGTAGGATTGAGGTCGTTTGTTCAAGGCCGATTCCCTTGGCATGTTTGTGTATTTATACTTTCTATTCATCAATAAAGAAAGCGTCAGATTGCAATACATTTTGGCTTTCATTTACAGCAAGCTTGTAAATATGCATTTGGTAACCACTAACCACATAATACAATTAGCTTTGCAATTACAAACAACCAAACACCCATTACATGTTATCTTGCAATTGAGATTTCAATATTCTAACAAACATGCCTTAAAAATCGGAGCATTATAGTTTTCTTTCTCTTTTCCAAGGAAAATTCAAAGTTTTGAGTTTTTAATTAGTCTTTGTTTAACTTCCACCAAATTCGCTCCCACTATTAGAGACTCGTTCACCACCCACCCCTCCCCCCCCCCCCCCCTCTCCCAAAACTACTTTCTTTCTCACTTTCCCAAAATACCCAATCACCATCATCACAACCTTCACCATCACCAACAAACAAAACACATCACAACAAAAATCGAAACCAAAACCAGAATAGCGTCACGACAATCCACACCCACATTTTTCATTCATCACAACCAGAAGGAGGAGGAGAAGAAATGTACCTTGTTTTGAAGGAGGGTTGATGCCAAGGCAGGAGCCATGACGCTGAAGGGTGGCACAAGCCACGCCTGCGCAGCGTGCAAGTACCAGCGACGGAAGTGCACGTCGGAGTGCCAGCTAGCCCCCTACTTCCCATCAAACAAGTCGGAGATGTTCCGAAACGCCCACAAGCTATTTGGCGTAAGGAACATCGTCAAGATAATAGAGAAGCTAGATGGTCCCCAGAGACAGGAAGCAATGCACTCCATCATATGGCAGGCAAATATTCGTGACCTCTACCCTGTTTAGGGTTGCTATGGCTACATATGCCGCCTACAATACCAGATTCACCAGGCCCAGGAGGAGCTCCATGCGATCCACGCCCAGCTCCACATGTGCCGTGACCACCACCACCACCACGGTCTCGATGCCACGACAGAGGACGTGGTTCCTTCCTCGCACCTGAACTAGGAATGGCCCCTCCTGTAAGTAACAACAACAATGCAGCAGCCCTTACCCTGTTCGGTCATAACCAGCCTTGTGCGGCGGCAGGAGTGATGGCTCAGTTGTCGCCGTCTCTTGTAACTGCCGATCAACATCAGTTGTCCTGCTCCACGAGCAGTAACCCTGTTGGGGGATACAACTACAATTCCGGTTACTTTGATGCTACAAAGGAAAATAATAGCAACAATTCTAATAATAATGCACTAGCATCCAATTCCAACTGGCTTCAGCATACCTATGGTATCCACAACAACATTAATAACGTCACCAATTCTTCATCATCCATGGGTGCTCCTCATTCCCAATTGTTAGCAACACAACCACTTGATGGTATCCAACAGGAAGTTGTGTCGGACTACGATGAGATGCATCTGTTTTTTGATACAATCGACGACAGACAATCGTACATTGATTCCAAAGAGGCTTATGATACAAGGTACATTATTCATCTAAAGGCTTATTCTCATCATACAAAGTTTCTTACCCTATATATATGTGTGGTTAGAAATGAAAATTAAATGAAATATTTTTGTGTTTTTCCAGCTCGGAAGAGTCTCTCAAGGACACTACACAGTCCCTTGAGCAACACCTAGTGGCAGAGGACGAGCTGAAGAGCGCGGCGGCATGCTTCAGTCTCACAAGTGTCAACTGATCATATAATCAATCACATAAGTAAAAGACAAAACAAGAATCTATAGAGTATGCAAATTAAATGAAGCCTTCATGCAGAAATATAATTTTTCTCTATCTTGGTTTCAAGGCTCATTCAATTCTTTTATCCATCATCAAATCACATGCCTTTCATCATTTTCTGAAAATCTCTAGGGGTTTTGTTTCTATCGCTTTTCAACATGTAGATTCTTTCGTTATTTCTTGGACCTCTGTAATTGTTTTTTTTAGAAATTTGATTATTTGATAGTTGAAAAATGAATGCATTCATAGTTAGTCCATACATTGTGAAGATATATAAAAATTGTCTCCTGAGGATTACTGTTTTGCTACTTTGCCACAAAATTTGCATCATCCAGTGACACTAGTGAAGTATCAAAAGGCTGTTAAAATACAACCAACCACTTTTGACTTTTGGTTGAGGCAAGGCAACCTGAAGCATTTGGACTGATTATGATGGATAGTTTACGTACAAAAAATAGAAGCACTATAAGCGGTGGCGGACCCAGGATTGTCGGAGAGGTGTGTCGCCGATAAAATAAAATAATAATTAAATTAAATTAAAAAATAAAGTAGAAATTAAAAAAAATTAATTCATAAAGTTCACAATGTCATGTTTACAACGAATCGCTATGACTTTTCATCTGATGAAATGTCTCTAAAATACATTAAATTGGTCACTCAACCGATTCCGAAGATCATTCTTGATTATCTTCATAGCTGAAAATGTTCTTTCGCAGCTTGTCGTTGCAACAGGTAATGTTGGGGAGTTAGTGGCTGCCTGGGTTATTGGCCATTAGGCCTGTGGGTTTTTTTCTCTTTTATTTATAGGCCGAGGCCCAACACACATCACACATGTATATTGTATGGGCTGAGAGTTTGTTTTTTTTAATAGGAATTGAAAGGATTATGATTTATGAGTTATTTTTAACAAAATTAAAAAGGATTATGATTAAGATTGATTTATTCGGATAATAAATTCTTCGAGTATAATGAAGGTGTCTCAGCTATAATTATTGAAGGTGTGTCGGCTATCTCGAAATAAAAAAAATTGTACAAAAAATATTGTAGGTCCTTCACAAAATTCTCGAGGAAGACGAATGCTTCTCATCTTCAAATCCATCTTCTTGCTTCCTGGCTGGCTCATCTATATCTTTCTACTTATGTTGGCAAAGTCAAATAGGAAGGAGTTTTTTTAGAACTGGATATATAGAAGGGGGGTTTGATAGAGAGATTTGGGTTTTTTTTAGTTTAAGATTTGGGTGAACTTTGGGTTTGGTCAACCACTTAATACTCATACTATCAAATTACTTTTTTCAACCTATCACATTCTAGAATTACCCCCTTAGAAATGGTAAGATTCATATGCAAAAAACATATGTGAGGCTGTTGGCACTTTTGAGCTAACCCGCACCGCTGAAAGACGACCCTCAGTATTCGCCTTTTAGTAGCGCCGCAAATTCCTCCGCACAAAGCACAAATATCAAAGGAAATAACAAATCTCCTTTTCTTCACCTCCGCTTAGGTTTGAAGAAACCCGATGGCATTCCATTCATCATAACCAAAAAGCATGACATTGATAGACACTCGTGGATCCACTTAATCTATAGTGAGCTAAACCCCTACTATTCCAAGACCATGAGTAAAATATGCCAACCAACCCCGTTATAGGCCCGTTCCATGTCAACCGTAAGGGCCATGTACCATTTATTTCCTTTGGTCTTAGTTATTGAGATAATGCATCAACTCGTGCCCAATTAGCAAATTATTTATAATTTGCCATGCTTGTAAACGCAATTTGCCCCGTGCGACACAATTTGTGGGAAATGGGTTGGAGATGCTCGATAAGGAATTTGGTAAATCTTGTGCCAATTTGGTAAATCCTGTATGGAAGGAATGCTCATAGTGTTCCCAAATTGATTCAAGAAGAACATCATGTAATTGGGTCACTTTCCCTTGACCATTAGAAGACTCTAATTTCCGATTATGCTAATCAAGTAAGCAAATCTAATCAACTCCTCATAGTAGTTTTGGCCATGCTGGTTTTTGTTCTATTACTTACATATCCAGGTTGTTTAAGGTAGTCTTAGGGATCAGAGTATGCTCTTTTGTTTTTTAAAAAACTATGAACATCACGACCTGGAGATAGGCATCCAGAAGTTGTCCACTAACAAAATGCTTCGTCTATATATTCATGTCATGCTCGAATATCCATTTTGACCATTTTCCTACTCACTTCATGGATGAGGACTATTAGCGAACATGGGCCACCAGCCCACCTTCACTCAGCCCATCATGGGCTCGTCCGCAGTTGAGCTAGCCGAGCAAGAGCCCACTGCATCCCATGCGCAACAAGTCTCGTTTGCTTTCCCTAGTTGTTTTACCCTTGTTGATGGATGTAAGGATATAAAACCTGATGTAAGGCCAATGGCCATAATCAAGAACTGATCAATAAGAAATCATCCGGAGAGTTAAGCTCTCCCGTGGACTAGTCCCGATATCGGGGAAACCACGTAAAATCTCGTCTCGTTCTTCGTTTAGCGTCCGCAAATTTCACATGGTATCAGAGCTGTGATCCGTACACAGCATTTGCACTATGTCAGGAACCGACTCTACCCTTGAGACGCCAAACTCGGGCAAGTCGACTAGTTCTGATTCTGGTGGCGACAAAGAGCTTGATGCTCACAGCCCCTTTTTCATTCCGAATTCTGATTCTACTGGCCACCTGCACGTCAGCAGTGTATTAACTCCGACCAATTTTGGGAGTGGGTTCTTGAGATGACCAATGCTCTCGTCACCAAGAACAAAATTGGTTTTGTTGATGGTTCTCTCCCTCGTCCGCAGGGCACTGGTGCCTCATTGTTTGCTTGGATGCGGTGTGATGCCCTGGTCAAGGGTTGGTTGCGCACTGCAATGGATCTGGAATTACGGAGTAGTCTCATGCATGCTAAAATGGCCCAAGAGATATGGGAGGACCTTCGGGATCGTTTTAACAAAGGTAATTTGACCCGTGCATATGAAATACGACGTCATGTAAGTTTTCTGCAGCAAGAAAAACAGTATGTTTCTAGCTTTTATACAAAGCTTCGCAAGGCTTGGGAGGAGACACAGTCTATCCTGCCGCCTCCCACCTATTCCTGTGGACGTCAATGCCGCGATCAGAATGAGAGTTTGAGACTCTTTGATTTTTTGTTGGGGCTAGATGATTCCTTTGCAACTGTCCGCAGTCAGATCCTCTCCATGTCGGTTCCTCCATCATTACCCGAGGCCTTCAGGATTGTTTATAATGATGAACAACAACGGACGTTAACTCAAAACCGCAAGCCTCTCCCAGAAGCAGCAACGTTCGTGACCCACGGAGCAGCAGATCGTGGCGCGAATGGCGCTCGCAATACACGTGATCGAGGATCTGCTGACAAGGACACCCTAATATGTACTCACTGCCTCAAACCTGGGCATCTGCGTGAGACATGTTATCAGTTGATCGGCTATCCTTCCCGCGACAAACAAGGCGATGGACAAAATCACCATAAGGGTCGTGATTCTGGACGAGATACAGGTCGCGATGGTGGAGCTACTCGCGGGCGCAGTCGAGAGCCACAGGCATCTCAAGTGGAGCAGGTGTCGAGTCCTGTTTCCGGTTTTAGCGTCCAGCAGCTGGAGCAGCAAAAGCGTTTTTTTGGCTCACAATTCTCCTCGGCCACGGATCCCTCAAGTCACATGGCTGGTACTTTTTCCTTTTCTGATCAAAGTGAATGGATTATAGACTCTGGGTGCAATGAACATATCACTATGGACGGTGATATTCTTACTTCAGATCATCATATTTTATCTACTCAACCGGTACGCATTCCGAATGGAGCTAGTATTCCGGTTAAACGCATTGGTTCAGTTAAGTTGAGTGATGGGATGACACTGGGTCGTGTTTTACATGTTTCGGAATTTCGTTGCAACCTCTTATCAGTTAGCCGACTTTGTCAAGAACATCGTGTTGCTATAATCTTCCTCGATGATTTTTGCGTTATACGGGACTTACACTCCAGGAACGTGATTGGGAAGGGGGAGATTCGTGATGGACTCTATTTACTACAGTTTTTTGGTTGCCGTAGTGCTCGATTTAATGCTGTCGACCTCCTGCACTACCTTGGCACGAAAGGTTGGGACAACCTTGATTGCCGATTATGACCAAGATTCAAGATCAGCCTCCTGCTTCTGCAGTTTCGGCTCCTAGTATTTGCCATCCTTGCTCTCGTGCTAAGCAAGTTAGGACCATTTTTCCTGTTAGTGGCATTCGGACTACCTCTTCGGGAGGATATAACACTCCCTCTTACAGTGGTGCTTAAATTTTTTTGACAATCGTTGACGATTTCAGACGCGGAGTGTGGATTTATCTTATAAAGTTCAAATCTGATGTTGGGAGGTACATCCAGCTTTTTTGAAATCTAGTTTGCACTCAGTTCGGTAAACAGGTGAAAAAGATTTAAACTGATAATGGTTCTGAGTTTGGGACTCTGTTGCTGCGTAATTTCTATGAGAAGGAAGGGATTCTATTACAAACCTCTTGCACAGACACACCCCAACAGAATGGTGTGGTCGCTCGCCATCTTCTAGAGACAGCACGTGCATTGCGGTTTCAGGCCTCCTTGCATATTCGATTTTGGAGTGAGTGCATACTTACTGCCGCATACTTGATCAACAGGTTACCCACCACTGCTATGGGCCACACTCCTTATGTGATTATTTTCGGTAAGCCGGCTAGTTACTTTCACTTGCGTGTTTTTGGATGCCTGGTATACAGCAAGGATACTCACTCGCATCTAGATAAATTTGCTGAACGAGGTCGTGCATGTGTTTTTATCATGGTAAAGGAAACCGTACCGGACATCATACCGGATTCCTTTCTGGTATGGTATTTTGTGGTACAACCGTGGTTCAACCGTTTTGTACCGGTAAATAGCGTTTTTCACTATTGATAGAGAAATG